AGGTTTCAGAGAGGGCGTAATTACCCTGCGATAGTTACACAGATGGTTAATGGTAGAGCACCAGGGGAGGATATCATGTTTTGGGGCTCCAAGCCCATGTTACATCCTTTGCACCACCTGGCCTGTCCGCCGGATTCAGCTGGTGGTGGGCCCTCTTCCTGGGACTCTAGCCAAGCATCCATTTCCCTCTGTGGGGTATCGCTGCTCTGTGGATTGTCTTTTGCAGGTCATTCTTGTCAGACAACGATGTCCTCATCCTGGCAGAGCCTGGGCACCGCAGAAGTAACCTGTCATTCCCTTGTAGCATAGTTCGAAAAAGCTCGTAAGCGAGAAATTAAGGCCAAGCAGGGCATCCGGCCTGATCAGGAAAGAGCTCTTTTACAGCTTCAATGCTTGTTTAGCATCGGTGGCCGCCAACTACATGGGGATCGACAAGCCCATGTCCCTCAACACCAGCGCCCAGGTGGGGGGGGGGGGGGGGTGCTCCTCCCAGGCCTCTGTTCCCGGGCCTGTGCCTGGGGGCTCTGCGGGGAAACAGAAGCTAAAGATGTTTGCTCAAAAGTTCAGAAAGTATGACTGGGCGTATTCGTCAGGGATTTAGAAATTTCTGGCAGGGAAGAAAAAACGGAGATTAGAGACCGAGTGTGTGGCACCTAGCTTAGGAAATGCATCGTTTTTTCACCATGTGGCATGCATCTCCAATTCTGAGATCCAGTCCCGGTAAATCCAGAGTCCCTGGATTAGGTGGGTTAGCAGCCTTAACTAAATCTGATGGTTTCAAATGAGGGACTGTAGCATATTTCTGTCTCTAGGCTCCATAATGCAAACATGCATGTATTCCCCCTTCCAATGACAGTCTGAGTAACAACAACGTTGTCTTACTCCATTATTGGTATTTAAAATGGAGATTGTAGCACCTACGTTGGGGGAATCAAGAATTCCACTGGCATAAAGCACTGTAGCAATGACAGGGCTTGGTGTTGTTAGCCATTTTCTCCATCCCGACTCAACAAAGAGGGAGAGGGAGAGGAAGGGAGGGAGAGAGGGGGAGAGAGAGAAATACAGACAGACGGGGATCAGAGATCACAGCTGTTAGGGAGCCAAACACTAATATGAGTTCTTCCTCTCTATATCAGAGCTAGGATATTAGTTTATTACACATTTATCATTCATAAAAACCTGTGATAGATGCTGCCTCCCCCAAATGAAGGCAGCAACATTTTCCTTTTGGCTCAATATTGTTTCCCTAGAACCAAGCGTGGTGTTTGTAACACAAAGAAGGGTGTCAGAAAATATGTCATGAATGAATGAACACCCCCACCTCCCTGTAGTTCCTACTAGTAGGTCAGTGTTCTCGGGGGTAGCAAGTGTGTCCTGGCTGGATGTTCCCAGTTTATAGTTGACATAATGATATAATATTGAAGAGGGGCTTGGGAGAAGGGAAGTGTACAAGAAATGAGAAGGGAGAAGGAAATGAAAGGCAAAAGATGCCCAGATACAAAGTTATTTGAAAGGCATCTGTTGCAATTGAGGGGCAACCTCTCGAAGCCTATTCCAAAAATTAAAGCTATGAGTCAGCCTGAACCAACTGACCACCCACCAGTTAAAAGCTGAATTTCCATGTGGGCGTGTTTACAAAGAAGGATGTTGTCCTCTGCGCTATAATAAAAGGACTGCATTTATTTACAGAATTGTAGTGATTGTAGTCATGCCTGAGGGCAAGATGATGTGTCAGTAAATGAGTTAGTGAGTCAGAAGAGGCGTAATCGCTCAGAAAATTTTACCGGAAGTTTAGTTCTTAAGCCATATATTTACCATGAGGTTAAACACAGAATTAAATATTCTTTAAGTGACATATTCAGTAGATTAATATTCTCATTAAAGTCATTTAGAATGGACTTACCATTGGATAAATACTGCTTACAAAAATGCCTCAATTGGCCTGGTGAAGGAGGCCACCAGAAATCCTCTCTTTGGTATAATCTGACACAGGGCACAGAACTGGACCCACTTTGAAACCAGCAAGAAAACTGGGCCTAGACAAGAGCAATTGAAGAGTAAGGGTAGGAATATTACATTTGGAAGGCACCTGCCTCAACAGAGCCGAGATTCTGGGCGAGAAGGTAGAGAAAGGGATACAGAAGAGGTGCCCTACAGCGTGAAAGCAAGTGAAAATTAGGGCAATGTAGCACAGCAGATTCCCAAGAGCAATTAGAACGCAATCATCACTTGGCCAGAAAGCCAAGGTCGAAGAAGGTGTGCAGCAAAGCGGTGGCTGGCCATGGTGCCGGGGAGCCGTCTGGGAGAATGAGAGCAACAGCACCCACAGGGGCCAAGGGTGGCAGCTCTGATTCAAGAGCAGCTACAGCAGAGTGGCTGGGGGCAGAGAATTCCATTTCAGAGTCAGCTATCCGAGGCTTCTCATTCTCTTTTAAGAATGGCTGTGAGGACTGATATTACAAGTGGAAATTAATCCCTCCGAGGAAAGAAGACAGTATACTCCTTCCTGGTGAAAGTAAAAATTGAGTGAGCTCTATTATTGGTACTTTCCACGTGGTTCAGGGGTCAGCAGCCATGTTCTATAAAGGGCCAGATAATAAATGTTTTAGGCCTTGTGTGCCCTGTTGTCTCTAACACATAAATTCTTTAGTTCTTTTTTTTAACAACCCTTGAAAAAAATGTAAAAATCAGGCCCTCATTTGTAAACCTACCATATTAACTACATATATATAAATGTAACTCTATATGTGTGTGTACAGATATATATTTAAAATCTTTCATCAACTGCATTATCTCCTATGCTTATGAGCAGAAAAGTATGTGCAACCGTCTACATGTCTAATTCTAAAAGAGCTAGTTCTTCACTGAAATTTAACTATTTGTTTAATGAATAAGTAGTAGTTGCTTAATTCTTGATAGCTGTTCATCACTTCAAGGGACTCCTAAGGAAAGAAGCAGTTCTTCTTTTAGAGGTAATTCCCAGACTTTGACAATGGAAATGTCAGAAATCATTTGCCAAAAAAATGCAGATATTGAAAAGATCCCAGCGTGGGGTTTTTTTTTCTTCTTTTTCTTTTGCCAAGATGTGTCTTCCGGTGAGCATGGAGATGCTGAATGGATGCAAATCCTGAGAGTTGAGAGGATGGAGTAACACTTGTAGTGACAACCCTTCTTGGTGCTTGTCACCATCGGTC